ATTTCTCCTTTAGTTCATATTAATTAGTAAAATAAAAGGTTTGAACTGTGTCTTGTTGGATGATACTGTTTTAAAATGTTTCATTCAGACGAACTTTTTCTGAAACGTCAGCTTCAATCCAGCAGATGGTTGTTTGTCCCGAGCCTGGTTCTGTTGGAGGTTTCTTCCTGTTAGGAGAGAGCTTTTCCTTTCCACTGTTGCCTTTAATACAACTAGAGGGCAGCAGAATCTAAACCATGGCACAAAAACTATGTCATGTGACACAATGACGTTTCATGCGCCGAAATAGCTCAGTTGGGAGAGCGTTAGACTGAAGATCTAAAGGTCCCTGGTTCGATCCCGGGTTTCGGCAGTGTACAACATGCTTTTCTTATGTTGTGTGACTAGCTTCCATAAAAAAATGACAATTTAAAATACAAAAAGTTATAAACACTAAATTCAATTCAGTTTAGAGGCAGAGAGATGAGGGGGTCAGGGGACATTAAAAACTACAGCATACACAAAATATCAGCTCTGACTAAACCAAACCTGTTGCTCCACCAAGACAGAGGCTGTGGACAGGTTGTCCTTTATGTCTTCCAGTTTGATGGATGTACCCCTCTGCACCACAGTTTGAAGCGTCCTGCTCACCACCAAGCTTTCTTTCCCAGTCCCAAAGAGCTCTACAGTGACTGGTCTAAATGACTACCGGCCAGTAGCCCTCACCCCAATAGTTGCTAAATGCTTCATAAAACTGGTCATGACCCACATCAAAACAAACATCGAGGACCGTCACCAGTACTCATACCTTGAGAATCAATCAACAGAAGATGACATCTCCTCTGTGGTCCACATTGCTCTCACCAACCTGGAGCAGAAGGACTCTTACATCCGTATGCTCTTTGTGGATTTCACATCCGCCTTCAACACCATGAACCCCCAAACCCTGATGGACAAACTATTCACACTTGGACTAAGCCCCTCCATTTGCAACTGGGTACTAGACTTCTTAACAAACAGACCACAGTCTGTGAGGATCCACAACTTCTCCTCCTCCACCATAACCCTCACTGGCTCCCCTCAGGGATGTGTGTTAAGCCTTCTCCTGTTCACTCTGCTCACGTATGACTGCGTACTGACCCATCCTGGCTGTCATATTGTAAAGTTTGCAGACGATACAGCGGTGGTTGGATGCATCACAAACAATGATGAGTCCACCTACAGGCAGGAGGTGGAACACCTGGAGAGCTAGTGCAGGAAGAACAACCTTCACATCAATGTGAAGAAGGCAAAGGAGATGATTGTGGACTTCAGGCAGAACAAACTCACCTACGCCCCCGAACATAGGAGGATCTGTGGTGGAAGTGATCTCCATCTACAAGTACTTGGGTGTGGACCTGAACAACAACCTCATCTGGGGCACCAACACCACCAGCCTGATAAAGAAAGCTCATCAGAGACTCTACTTCATCAGACAGCTGAGGCGAGCTGGTCTGGGAAGTTCAGTCCTCACCTCCTTCTACAGGTGTGCAGTGGAGAACATCTTGTGCTCCAGCATCAACGTGTGACATGGAGGCTGCACAGCTGCAGAAAGAAAAGCTTTGCAGAGAGTGGTGAAGGCTGCACAGAAGACTGTTGGAGTCAGCCTCCCCACCATCACAGACATCTACACCTCCAGATGCAGGAAGAGAGCCACCTGCATCATGAAGGACCCCACTCACCCAGCACACACACTTTTTGCCCCACTCCCCTCAGGAAGGAGGTTGAGGAGCATTAAGTGTAGAACCACTAGACTGAGGAACAGCTTCTACCCTGAGGCTGTTAGACTCATGAATATCTAACCAGAATAATCACTGTGAAAAAATCACATCATGTTGCTGCTGATCTGTTTCATGTTGCTGCTGATCTTTTTCATGTTGCTGCTGATCTTTTCAATGTTGCTGTGTTCATTCGTGCTCATCTGCTCACACAGACTCGTGTTTGTGCTTCTGTTCAGTGTATTGTTTTTATGCTATTAGTGCTTAGCATATTTTTACTTAATGTTTTCATTAGTTCATGTCTTAGATCTCATTACTGTTTTTCTTTTACATTTTATTGTTGGGTGTATCTGGGACCCTGTTTACAAAATTTCATTCCACCACATGTACCACATTTGGTACGAGTGACAAATAAAGAAACTCTGACTCTTTCTTCCCAGCTTGTCATGATATATTTTTTGCCTAAAGGTTACATCCCCAACACAGAGCAGAATAAAAAATAACACTGGCGTCTATTGTTGTGAATAAATATTTTTCGTCACAGATGTTACAGAACCTCAGCCTAAACAGGAGGAAGAGGCCGTTTGCCATGAGTCTTGATTAAACAACATATTTAAGGCTGAGCTGAAGCACCCTTCATTACTGGTGATAGTTACATGGTGATAGTTACATGGTGATAGTTACATGGTGATAGTTACATGGTGATAGTTACATGGTGATAGTTACATGGTGATAGTTAGCATATAACCTTTTTGTGTCACAGCTGAGGTTGGTTGTAGAACCCAGAATGCAGGCAGAACTGCAGAGATTGCAAATATAAACTAATTTGTTAAAAAAGAAGGAGCTAATGAGGTCGTCAAAAACTACTTAGAAGAAGAAAACGGAAAATTGAATACAAAGCACGAGGGGTACTGCGATGACCTTAAATGTACAATGCAGAACTAAGAGACAAAGTGAGGAACACAGAATATACAAAAGCACTAATGAACCTAAATCACACATGGAGAAGAGACAACAGAGAACAGGTGAGAGTGGGCGGGGCTGGACCCACACAGAGGAAAACACCTGGGAGAACTGAGAACAGAACAAACCAGGAATCAGGATTCAGACTTCACTTCAGTGTTTATTTAAAACATAGTTTCTATTAATACAATGTGTGTATTTTGTTATTTATCCTTAGATTGTTTGATAAAGCAGTAAAAGGAAGTAAGATATTTTTGTTCTTTACATAAAACCATTTACCAAGGGGACCTTATAAGTTTGAATAAGAAATTAGAGGAAGAATTAAAATGATAAGTTAGTCAACATTAAGCAACATCAACTCTTTGTCTGCAGAATAATGATTTTGGTATTTTGCCACTTCATAATAAAAGTTTATTGAGCTGGCCTTTACAATTTTAAAATAATAAATATGTGTCTAACACAAAAAGACAACAAGCAAAAAAAAAATTCATGATAGAAGACAAACCTAATTTTTTGGTCAATTTTACTTACATGAAGATGCAATTTGATAACACTCCACCCTCCATTAAATGTAATGTTTCATCTAATGTTATTAAATAAACATGAAATGATTAATTCAGTTTATGTCAAAATTTCCCAAACCTACATTTTTTTTAGTAAGGACATCCATCCATTATCTTAACCTGCTTCTTCCTCTTTGGGTCACAGGGGTCACTGGTGCCATATCAAACAGTCACTGCGCGTCACCCTGGACAGGTCTGCAGTCCATCACAGGGACACATAGAGACAAACAACCCTTCACTCTCTCACTCACACCTAGGGACAATTTTACCAATGAGCATGTTTTTGGTCTGTGGGAGGAAACTGGAGTATCTGCAGAAAGCACACATGTGCCTGGAGATAACATGCAAACTCCACCCAGAGGGACCGCTGGACTGGGATTTGAGCCGAGGCAGCCTGCTCGCTGAAGGGCAGCTGCTCTACCAGTTGTGCCACCATGCTACCCCACAAAAAACACATTTTTCTTAAGATCTCAGTTCTGCCTTTGTTTGATTTAACATGTGTGGTACAGAAGTTTTACCTGTGGCTGTGGGCAGTCTGACTCCAGTCATTCATCTGACACAGGTTTCTTCCTGTTAGGAGAGTTTTTCCTTTCCACTGTTGCCTTTAATACCACTAGAGAGCAGCAGAATCTAAACCATGGCACAAAAACTATGTCATGTGACACAATGACGTCAATGTGCAGTCATGTGCCGAAATAGCTCAGTTGGGAGAGCGTTAGACTGAAGATCTAAAGGTCCCTGGTTCGATCCCGGATTTCGGCAGTGTAATGAGACAACATGCTTTTCTTATGTTGTGTGAATTGCTTCAATAAAATAATGACAATTTAAATAAAATACAAAAAGTTATAAACACTAAATTCAATTCAGTTTAGAGGCAGAGAGATGAGGGGGTCAGGGGACATTAAAAACTACAGCATACACAAAATATCAGCTCTGACTAAACCAAACCTGTTGCTCCACCAAGACAGAGGCTGTGGACAGGTTGTCCTTTATGTCTTCCAGTTTGATGGATGTACCCCTCTGCACCACAGTTTGAAGCGTCCTGCTCACCACCAAGCTTTTTTTTATCAGTCCCCAAGAGCTCTACAGTGACGGGTCTGAATGATTACTGGCCAGTAGACCTCACCCCGATAGGCACTAAATGCTTCAAGAAATTGGTCATGACCCACATCAAAACAAACATCGAGGACCGTCACCAGTACTCATACTGCGAGAATTGATCAACACAAGATGCCATCTCCTCTGTGGTCCACGCTGCTCTCACCAACCTGGAGCAGAAAGTCTCTTACGTCTGTTTGTGGACTTTACGTCTGTCTTCAACACCATGATCCTCCAAACCCTGATGGACAAACTATTCACACTAGGACTAAGCCCCTCCGTTTGCAACTGGGTACTAGACTTCTTAACAAACAGACCACAGTCAGTGAGGATCCACAACTTTTCCTCCTCCACCATAACCCTCAGCACTGGCTCTCCTCAGGGATGTGTGCTGAGCCCTCTCCTATTCACTCTGCTCACATGTGACTGTGCAGCTACTCATCCAGGCTGTCAAATTGTAAAGTTTGCTGATGATACAGCGGTGGTGGGATGCATCACAAACAACGATGAGTCCAGCTACAGGCAGGAGGTGGAACACCTGGAGAGCTGGTGCAAAGAGAATAACTTTCACATCAATGTGAAGAAGCCGAAGGAGATGATCGTGGACTTGAGAAGGAACAAACACACCTACCCCCCCGAACATAGGAGAGTTTGCAGTGGAAGTGGTCTCCAGCTAAAAGTACTTGGGTGTGCACCTGAATGACAGCCTCAGCTGGAGCAACAACACTACCAGCCTGATCAAGAAAGCTCATCAGAGACTCTACTTCATCAGACAGCTGAGATGAGCTGGTCTGGGAAGCTCAGTCCTCACTCCTCACCTCCTTCTAAACTGTAGCCTTTAATACCGCTAGAGGACAACAGAGCCTCAACCACAACTAGAAAACTAAATCACTGACACAGAATAAGTTCATGTGAAATCACATGCCGAAATAGCTCAGTTAGGAGAGCGTTAAGACCTATCGATCCTGGGTTTCAGCAGAGCAGTATGTATATGTGATTTATTATGTTGAGTTTATTGCATCAATAAATCCAATTAATCAATAAAAGTATGAAAATACAAAAAGTTATAAACAATTCAATTCAGTCTAGAGGCAGAGAGATGAGGGGTTCAGAGCTGTTAAAAACTACAGCGCACACAATATATCACCTCTGTCAAAACCAGTTTGATGGATGTACCCCTCTGCACCACAGTTTGAAGCCTCCTGCTCACCACCAGGCTGGCTTTCTTACCAGCTTTTCCAGTCATGACATATTTTTGTCTAAAGGTTACAACCCCAACACCTAGCAGAATAAAAAATAACACTGGCCTCTTTGTTGTGAATGTGTTTTTCATCAGACGTTACAGAACCTCAGCCTACACAGGAGGAAGAGGCAGTTCTGACCCGTCTGGCACCAGTCTCTGTGGTCCAGATCGTGTCCGCTCCTAACACCTGCTGCAAAAGCTGAATCATCAGTGTTTGTGCAGGTGGCAGGGTTTTCAACAGCATTTGTAATCACTGAAATCTAATCCTCGAAGTACTGATTTAACAAGCAAACCTCGAAAGCTGGACAGTAAAACCACGACTGAGGGCTGCAGGAACAGAAACACAAGCCGACAGGCAGTTTTTACTTTGACCAGAAGTTAAGTAACAAAATGTTACATATCAGGAGAGACTGGTGCCAGCAGAGCCTCGGAGAGACCACTGAATGTTCCAGGGCCTCGGCGGTTCTGGCTGTGCCTCAGCTTTTCTCATATGAGCATGCCAAGCTAAGGTGTGTATGTGTGGCGACAAGAGGGCCTCGATCCAGAAGAACAGGTCTGGGACGTGGCACACCAAACAGGTCAGGGACTTGCGTCATTCCTATTGAAATCTGAATGAAAGGCCAGCTGCCTCTCTGTGGTGATGCTGATCAGCAGAGCGCTGATAATGAACAGACGGACCGGGCTGCAGAAGACTCAGGGGAGCGACAGGAGGTTCAGGAAACAGAGCCAAGGTTCCCAGTGTTCCCCTGGTGTCTGTGTGAATTTTCTATATAAAACAAACTAACAGAAGAAGAAGATGACTAAAGTGCACTGAGGTTTATCAGTTAACAGATAAATTGGTCAGAAATTATATTTGAGTTTAAACATAAATAAAAAAATATCAATTTATTTTTGGTTTTCTGATGAGTCAGAAAATAAAAATAAAGGGAGGACATTTTAATTCACGTTTAGCCTCAGCAGTGCAGTGGTGGACGAGAAAGACAAATGCTGAGTTGAGCAGAGTTCCTTTTGGGGTTTTTCACATTAGATGGTTTCATTTGTTGCTGAGTAATCCTGTGCAGGGGATTACATAAAATTTCCTCCTCTCTTCTTTTTTCTTTGGCTTGCACCGTGTTGTCCGGTTTCCTGGTGACTTTGTTCTTTTTGTTCTTGGAGAGCTTCAGAGAACTTACAAAGATGTCCACCAGTCCTCTGCACCAGCTCCTTTTGTTGGCTGAAGGGATCCTGCAGGCGGTCCAGACAGATGCACAAGCCCACAAAGAGGATGGCTTATTTTTGCTGAAATTAGCCAAAACTCTATTCTGTGCTGTAGTTTCACTTCCAAGTAGCTTGTGCAGACTTCCTGGTTAACTTGGCAGGACTTGCAGGCTTGCATAAGTGGAGCAGCAGGGACTCCTGCATAGAGATCAGAAGTGAGGATTAGGCCTGTCCTGTTTGTAAACCAGGTTGAGCTTCAGCAGGTCAGGCCATGACATCAAGTTCAAAAATACCTTTGACAGAGAGGGACGACGAACCATGTCGTGAGTTGTTTACAGCTGCAATGACAAAGAATGTGAGTTAGATCAAATTAAACCTTATTTATAAAGTGCTTTTTGTGCACAAACCAATTAAATGTGTTTTCCACGAAGAACTTAAAACAGAAGAAAACATCATTTCCACATTTACAGGCATATACTGCACATACAAACATATTCACATGCAAAACAGCACATAAGTGTGATACGAATACAAGCCACTGTGTGTTCAAGAGGCCAGTTTTAGCTATAAATGCATTCATCCATCCATTATATTTACTCGCTTCTTCCTTTTTGGGTCATGGGGGTCACTGGTGCCCATATCCAGCAGTCACTGTGTGAGAGGTGGAGGACACCGTCTCCAGTCCATCACAGGGAGACAAACGAGACAAACAACCATTCACTCTCTCACTCTCACCTATAGAGACAATTTAGATTTACCGATCAGTCTAACATGCATGTTTCTGATCTGTGGGAGGAAACTGGAATACCTGGAGAAAAGTCACGCATGCATGGAGAGAACATACAAACTCCACCCAGAAAGGACCCCGGACCAGGATTTGGACCAGGGTAACCTGCTTGCTGAGATGCAGCAGCTTTACCAGTTGCACCACTGTGCTGCCCACTATAAATACATGATGAATTAATTTTAAGTCAGGTCTTTATACAGACTCTTTAACTCTAGAATAGTTTTGTAAAACATCAATTAATTTTTTTCTGTGATTTTAAGATTTAGATCACTGTCTAATGTTACATCGAGGTGTCAGGCTTCATTTCTGGATTCTATAGATACAGATCTGAGATGGGCTGGTTTCTGTTTCTGAGTCCATGCACCAAAAAGGAATATTTCTTTTTTTTTTTGGCTGTAATGTGTGAAATCATTTTGTTCTTCTTCCGGCTGCTCCCTCCTTCAAGGGTCACCACAGTGAATTAACTCCAGCGAAGACTTGGCAATTGATTTTACTCTGGATGTCCTTCCTGACACAACCACAGACCACTGAGCTACCACAGCCCTCTGTGTGGAGCAGAGAGCTGCCATGTAAGGCGCCCAGTTGAGCGGATGGTGTGGGTTACGGGCCTTGCTCAATGGTCCAGAGTGGGACAAATGAGGGTGGAGGCAGGTGTGGGTGCTTCACCTTGACCACACACATTTTGATGTTGTTGGTCTGCTGAGTTGAGGTGATCCTCCGATCACAGGCACGCCTTCTCTAACCTCTGCGCCACTCCCTGTAAGAGGGAATTTTTGAGACTTGCAGGAAATAAATAATGAATATTGTCCATCTGTAATAGTTACCTCTGCAACTGATTCCTAAGCTTAGTGCTTGCCTTCTGATGAGTTAGATTTCATGAGAGACATACCAGACTACAGTTATCATCGCCAGGTTGTCAAACAGGCTGATGAGTGATTTCAGCTGCCACCATACCAACATACCTGCAGTGTGTCCCTCAGACGAATGAGACCAAACAAGTTTCTGTGTTCCAAGAAAACCATGGGCATTTCTGTGAATTAGATGTAACATAGTATTTAAAAAGTGCTTTTGAACAGTTCAGTCATGCAGAACATGTAGTATTTTTCAAGTATTGCCTGCTTGTTGAGCTCATGTGACATAACCCACCACAATACTGTACATATGGTCCAAATCTGACAAGAGGAGGCTGTCTGAGGGAACACATGATGACCTCTCTTTTGTCCTTTGGGACAAAAAGAGGGAATTGTCTTCCCAGACTGGCTGAGTAGAAAGTAACAAACCCACTCAATGTTCCTTGAACAAGTTTCAAGGACATTAGGGAGGCTTGTTTCTCTGTTTTATTGTGAGGAGCGGTTGTCGTGATTGGTGTTGTTCTTTCTCTGCACTGCGTTGACCTTTGCAAATGTTCGGGGACTGATCTGCGTCATTTCATTAATGCAGCGATTGAGAAAAGTTTGCCATCGCTTTTGGCTTTTGTTCTCCGCTGAACAATGCTGCTTTGGTGCCGCGCCGGACTTTCACAGCTTATATAACGAATAAAAAAGTCTGAGTGTGGTTCAGCCATCTGACTTGTGCAGAGTCAAACAATTTCTTCCAAGAAAAAATAAAATAAAAAGCCATTTCCAAGAACTGAATCGTGAAGATTATGAAAGCCTGCTTCAATTTTGTGCAGAGCAAATGTCATCTTTCTTCTCTCTCTGCTCCACCTTCCAGTGCACAGGTGAAAGGTCTCATGCAGTTCAGAGCCTCACTAAAGGAACAAGCTAGCATCTTCTGGTTTTTACTTTACGTGTTTAAAGCCCCATTAAGAGACTGACACTACCAGGTGCAATGGCCCCGTCTAAACTTTGTGCTCCGTTTGCAAACTTACTCTCAAACCACAAATGCACCACATCCATCAGTGTGTGTGCGTCTACATTTCACACACCCTACTCTTTACTGACAGAGGTTAGAGCCGGGTAATGACTGCTTTTAGTTTGTTTTAAGTCATACGTCAGCATGTTCGGAGAATGTTCAGACAACAAATTGTTGGGCTCATCGTTGTCGTTCTGTCCTTGGTTTCCATGTGCATTACTGTCAAATTGTGTGTTTTTTATACATATGTATATTTCTCACATAGATGATGCATCTGTGGTTTGTCCACCATCTGTCAGAGATGTCATGAATCATCAGAGTTTCAACAGAAGCTGAGTAATACACATATCTCAGAGACAAATCCAGATCACAGCAGGGCTATAAGATCCAGAAGGCAAACAGGCTCCCAAAATAAAAGAGAACACCTCTCCTCATTTTTTCTTTTTCTTTATTTGACTTTATCACCAACACACAAACAGGTTTTCCATTCATATGTTTATATATTTTACTGATATCTGCTGACTGGCTGTTCCTCTGCAGTCTCAGGCCCACGACTTGTTGTTTAACTCTGCTCCGGGCCGTTTTAACAAATAAAATTTACAGTTTAATCAAAGGTCAAGTTTACCTTTTCATGACAGAAATGCAATGACTAGTGGGATTACTTCAACACAACATCTGGAACTGTGATAAAGTAAATTAACCAGCTGATAGTCTGAACTGAAAAAGTGACACCATGGGTAAAATATAAAAACGTGTTTTCTGACATGCTGGAAATGCTGAGTCCAACAAGTTTAAAATGTTCTAACATTTCTATAGAATTTAAATTAACACTTTGGTGGCAAAAAAACAAAACAGAAATAAGAAATTATTTTTAATTTTTTACCATTTCATGTAATTTGATTTGATACTAACACTTGACTGTGCTTATACTGTACTTGCTTACTTATTATTATCAATTATTTGAAAATTACAGCAAAATGAACTTGTAGTCAATTAAACATCAGATGTAATTTTACTGTTTTTCATATCATTTATTTTGATTGTTTTTGTTTACATTAACACAGTTGTTTTGTTGCTGCAACATCAACACATTTGAGATCTTGTTGTTCCATATTTTCCCAACAGAGCACTTTGCTCTCAGACTACAGGTTTACTTGCGGTTCCTAGAGTTTCCACAAGCAGAATGAGAGGAAGATCTTCCAGTTATCAGGCTCCTCTCTTGTGGAACCAACTTCCTGTTTCTGTCTGTGAGACTGACACATTGTCCAGTTTTAAGACTGGACTTAAGACTTTCCTTTTTGATAAACCCTATAGTTAGGGTCGGCTTGTTATGCTGCTATAAGTTTAGACTACTATAGGACAAAT